GGTATTATTGGGAACATTCCCTTAACTACATACCTGTCTTGGACAGTTAGAATGGACCTACTAGTTCCCGAAAATATGCTTTCCAAAAGAGAATACTAAAATGAAAACGTTAATACTGAACGATTTAAGTATTGTCATGGGTTGGAACTTGCTACCAGGGGGTTTCTAATTAGGATCCTGAAGTTTTTCAAAATTCTAAATGGCGGATCCAAAATGGCGACCAATATTTTTAAATATGATTGGATTTGTTCGAAACCTTCGAAACCAGGCACTCGTGAGTTTTTAGGGTCGGTGATTACGAATCTGAAGTAAATTTTTTTAAATTCAAAATGACGGATCTAATATAACGATCACATTCTTAAAAAAATTACTAAAATTAAAACGTTGATACTGAACGTTTTAAGCATTGTCAAGGGAGGAAACACGTTACCAGTGTGTTCCTGGGGTTGCTGATTAAGAATCTACTGTCAGATTTTCAAAATGACGAATTCTATATGGCGATCAATTAAAAAAAAATAAAAATTTGATTTGTTTGAAACTCTTAACCGCCATTTTGAATTTTGAAAATCTGACATCAGATCTTATGTTTAAGTCTATCGACCAGTGACAGGTATGGAGGTAATTAAGGGAATGTTCCCCAATAATACCAGAGTAATACATGTAAAAACCAAGTTTTTAGCTGCATTTTAACATATCACAAACATAAAAAAATTGAGAACATCAGCGTTTTTATAAAAAAACGACCAACGCAACCTCTAAAAAAACTTTTTTTTTTTAAATAAAAAAGTAAGTGTCTCTTTTTTTATAACAAATAACGAGAATTCGAGGTAGCGTTTATGAATTTCCAAAAAAAAAAATTTTTTTTGAACCACTCTAGCGTACACTCATGTTAAAGTGAATGACTCTGTTAGTTTTTATGAACTATATTTTATTTATATACCAGAAAATTGTTAAAAAAAGCACTCTGGCGTTTTAAAGTATTATCTGTTACTTACATTCATAATTTTGCTTTGAATAAAAATGTACTGAAAAGTACTGATTTTTTTTAGCATGAAGAAGTCTAACGTACTGATTTTGCGCCAAAAAATCTGGCAACCCTACGAGACAGCGAAGCTGAACCTATTACCTGCTTCTAAAAACAGGACACCATGGCATTTCTAATAATTAATCATCGACGAAAATCACATTTCCTAATATAAATGAATATAAATGAAGGACAAAAACTCGAACCAGACAGAACGAAAAATGAAACTGAAGATGGCACATATGTATGTTTAGATGTTTGGGAAACCATCACGCGGAAACAACTGAACGGATTTGCATGGAATTTTGTACACAGATAGCTTATGGCCCAGATATGGCCCAGGCTGCTTTTTTAATACGCAGAAACTACTGAACGGATTTGCATGAAATTTCGCAGACACATAGCTTATGACCTTGGTTGTAAAATAGGCTACCTTTTTAAGAGTTGCCACCTGCTAAAAAGGGAACAGTCCAACGCCTTCATCTTGACCTGCAGGCTGTGCCGGGGTCACAGCCGCTAAACTTAAATGTAGAATACGTAATATTATTAAGATCACATTCAAGTTAAAAACGGTACATGAAATATTCGCTTTAATTGTATTGAATTGAATTTGATAAATCAATATGAATTGCATAATATTAATAATTAGCAATAGAGAAGCAGATCCACATTAACTTCAATCATATGTACCATCAGCTTATAATAGATATATGCCATGATATTTATCACTTCTTCGGTTCATTTTTATTTTCTTTCACACTGCAGAAATTTGTTTTACTTTTTATATTAGCCCAGGTCTCCGTATTAGTATTCTTCTTCGCGTTCGTGCTCGTGTTCGCCCTATCTTCGTCTTCGCATAAGTTAGCTAAGACTTCTGAAACAGCTGGCAACCCTCCTAGATACAGTTAAGAAATAAACAAATCTCTTGCGTCTGACATTGTGATACCTACATATTTCATGTGCCTGATGAATTAAGTTAAATTTGATTTATTAAATACGTGACAACGCTCTTAAATACAGTTCAGAAATAAAGCCTTTTTAAACCCATTACATTTGATACCCATATTTTTTATAATTGCTTTAACTTATTAAATAATTTGAGTTAACGTTTTTACCAGCTGGCAACCCTCTTTAATAATCTAACGATTTAAACTAATCACCTTCGTTTTACGTAATATTTTAATATTTCATTTAACTCGAGCATACTTTATTTAAATTCTAACTTTGAAACAGGTGGCAGAAAAAAAAGGTTTTTAAAATTGTTTTTTCTTGAAAAATTTTTCACATAGAAATTTTTTGATAAAAAAAATTAGTTTTTGAAAATATGCCATCTCAAAAAAAGTTGAAAAAAATCACAATGGTAGCTCTGAGTATTGCGCAATATTTAAGTATAGTATTGTGGGGTGCACTCTACAAAAATTTGAGTTATGATTTTTTTTTTACACCGAAGTTGAGTAAAATGAGTACATTACAAATTCAAAATACATAATTCAAAGTACGCAGTTTTGTAGCTCATTAAATTCTTGTATAATAGGGTGCAAGTTTTAAGTGATTGCAAAATGGCGTCAATTTTTGTTTCTTTGAAAACGATTTTTCGCATAAGAAAAAAGTGCAAAAAGCCGCCAGCATAAAAAATATTAAAAATCAACGCAATTTTGCAATAGATTGAAACTTGCACTTTGTTTAACTAAAATTTAATGGGCTACAAGACTGCAACTCAAAAAATTACAAAATTTTTAAGTTTGTAATGTACTCCTTTTACTCAACTTCGGTGTAAAAAAAAAAAAATTCATAACTCAAATTATTGTGGAGTGCACCCCATAATACTATGGTATATTTTCAAAAACTAATTTTATTATATTTTAAAAAACAATAACCTAAACGCTGTGAATGCTGATATGGTGGCTGCGGAATTCAATGCCAGAAAAACTGCTGCTAATATTTCTTACAACAATAACTACTTTTGATTTTCGCCTGGTGTTTTTGAGTTTTCCTCTGTCCTTCATCCATTTAATTCGCAAAGGGCACAGTTTGGGAGTAACGTTAACGGCATCTCTCCCGCTCGTTTGTATCTGTTGTGCCAGTCAGTGTTGCCAGGTCTTCAGCATGAGAAAACGTCCCTCTTGGTCTGAAAAAACGTCATTTCCTACCCAAAAACGTATTTTTCAAATGAACGTACAAAAAAGTGTTCTTATTTATACTTTTATTGTATACAAAGGTACATATCGAGCCCTAACCGCCAAAATAACGTAAGCGACATTTTGTTCAAAATTTTCTTTTTGATGCAGAAATATTCCTAGAGCATCTCGATACATTTGTGCATCAAAAAAAGTTTGTTTAAAAAAATGTCGCTTACGTTATTTTGGCGGTTAGGGCTCGATATGTACGTAAGGTATATTAAAATATCATTTCGACAGAGCACATTTAAAATTCATTGTAAACTGGTTTGAGATCGTTAATATAAAAATTATTTTAGACATATACTTGTGATCAGCTGATTAAGTCATCAACATTTTGATCGATTTTGGCTGTTTCTCTTTCGTTTATTTAATGTTCATTATTTTTCCATAAAAGCCAAGCTCATTAACAAACAAAATATAAATCCACAAAAATTGTCCAAAAATTATAAACAGTCTGCAAATTTTCAGCTAGATTGTCAACTTTCTATTCAGATTTTTTAGTCCATTAAATTTCAGGGCAATAATGTGTAAGTTTAAAGGGGCTAAATAATCGCGTTGTTTTTTAATAATTTTTTTTCTTGTAGAAATTTGGTTAGGGGCCCGGTTGTCGAAAATGCTAAATTACGTTCTGCTAAGAAGAAGCATAGCAATAGGTCCATTCAATATCAAAAAAATTGTTACGAATTATTACTAGTACTTGCAAGTTTTTCCTGAAAATGCATTCAATTACCCAAAATATTTGCAAGAGGGAGCGAATTCGAGAGCGTAACAACCCGAGAGAGCTGCAAATTCTTGCAAGTAAAAATTTTCAAAATGGCTTACGTTGCAAGTTTTTACTAGTTTTGCGATCAATAACTTTTTCTGAAAATTTTCTCTTGCTCTCAATTTTACTCTCTATTTTTTTACGCTATCGCTGCAAGTACTTAGTGGAAAAGTTATTAAATGGACCTAATATTTCAGTCTTTTTTGCGATCAGTACATTTTCAATGAAGTCTTAAAAAAGTCGCCTACTTTTTTCTGACGTTTTATGCTGCACAGCTTTTTTGATGCTTTTGTGAGCGTGCCTGCTGCAATCCATCGGCTCTACCCTACCTGATTTGGCTTTTAATGTGCAATTGCATCATTACAGCAAGCCTCGCAACCTCAAGTGTTTACACAACCAGCCCTTGGACAAGGGATCCTTAGTCCTAGAATCCAAAAAAAAACCTTTGGAGGAAGCAGCTGCAGCAAAACACAAAGTTTGTAAAGATTTAATAAGAAAATAATTCAAAATCAGTTCTACTTATAAGATTTAGTAACAAAGAAAAATTACTGGGAAGTTAAAAAACGTGATTTTTTACACAAAAAACGTGTAAGCGTCAACAGGATACAAAAAACGTCCAAATGACGTTAAAAATGTCAACCTGGCAACGCTGGTGCCAGTCGCTACAGCTGTCAATACGCATATAACAAAGGATAGCACATACACTAGAGCTGGGATACTATCGATAGTACCGCCACTCGATAGTTTTCGAAACGATAGTTTAAAACATCGATAGTATGGATAGTATTATCGTCGTGAGCCGCATTGTGTAGCAGCATTGAATTTGAACGCTCAATTGTTGGAAAATTGATACAAAATTATTAAATTACTTTGTAAATTAAAGATATCATATATTTTTTTTTTAATTTCATGAATTAAAAAGAACTTCTTATAATAATAAAATTAACTTATTAATTTATCAGTCCATCTGAATTAAATATACTTATGAACATACACTTTCAAGTACTTGGATAACGACAGGAAAAATATTTAATTATTTTTTACATGGAAAAATTAAAATCAGATTTTGTTTGTCCTTTTTCAAGTGCAAGGAAGAGAATATGGTTATAATAATACATTTTAAGTACTATAAAAACAAAACAAAAGATATTACTTTAAATTGACAAAACATACTTATGTATATCAGTTCAACTGAGATCAAGTATGGAGGCGGTAACTAAAATCCGGACAAGGGAATTTATTAAAGTACTAGTCAAAATAATAGCACCACAACATTACTACAGTTTTGGCCGTTTTTTTGTTTCTTTATTTAATGTTTATTTATTGTTTTTAAATGTATAGCTCGTTATACATAAAAGAAAACCATATATCTAAATCCAATTTTCAACCTTTTTCTATAAAAATTTAAGCTTTTTAATTCGAATTTCTAAAAAAATTTTGTGTATCAGTTTTATAGAATATAAAATTTTAGTACATTTAATTCAGTGCAAGTTTGTAGTTGATAAATATCCCAATGATCCATTAAACAAACAAATAAACCAATCAAAGCTGATAAAAATGTTATGGTGCTATTATTTTGACTAGTACTTCATAACAAAAGTTAAAAAATGAATTAAAAGCGAAGTCAATTTTCCAATACGCCAGCGTCTGTGTAAGTAAAAGGGTAAACTATATATAACTTTCCCTGTCCAGATTTTAATGAACAAGACGGCATATTACATTAGCCAATTATTTTTGTTAAGGAACAATAACATATTTACATTTTTCTCTTTGAGACAGCTTCTTCTATCTGAAATTATATATCCAGCTTTGCTGAACATTCGTTCAGATTCAGTAGATGTTGCTGGTATACAGAAATAGCGCATTGCACAACTCTTCAATAATTCCATTTCGTTACCGATGGTCTAAAAGAAACTTAAGTTTATTATGAGAAAACTAATTTTCAATGAAACATTTACCTTCCAATATTCCAATGGGTCTATGTCTTGGGGTGCGTGGGGTCTTTCAAAATATTGTCGTAGTACAGTTATTGCATCCGATCTAGTTGTGTGTACTCTCGAATAAATTTTTTGTTGTAAAAATTTGAACTTAGGTTGCGGTTGTGATAAGTTTGGTGGTGTTGGCGGTTTTGCCCTTTCATGAAGGGTTGAAGCAGATTTATAAACTGTAATTAATTCATTCTCCAAAATCCCTAGTGCTATACCTGCATTGTTTGCTGACCGAAATCCTTCCTTTTTGAACCTTGCATCCAGTAATGTTGCCACCCTTGTAACTGTTCGGGTTTCAAACTTTGAAAGTCGATGAATAAGACGTTCGATCAAAAACAAACAAACATTTTTTCCTTCAGTTGTTTTCATTTTATTATATAAATCGTTGTAATTTTGATGTAGCTCACTTATCGTAGGGACAAGTAAGGAAACCGTAACAGACTGGCTAGCTGAAACCTGAGTAGTAGCATTGTCTAACGGTGCTAGCAGGTTTATTAAATGTTCTAATATGCATACAGTATATTTTGCTTAGCTGCACATCATTCTTTGCACGAAAAACTTGTGCACGTAACCGAAAAAGGCACTTAAGCGAATTTTCTTTACTACTTCAATGAGGAAGGTATCCGAATCCCTATGAAACCAAATATTGGCGGAGCCCTTACCATGTAGAAATTACTGCAAGCAAAATTTTTACCGATTGCTATCTAATTATCTATAAACCTACATAAATAGCCATTTTCGTTGTTCTGCGAGATGAGCAAAATAGGGCCAGTGCAGGTAAACTAATACTTTCATTGATAATTGATACTAGTCGCACAATTTTTAAGGCAGGTATCGCCAATGTAAACGTATGTTGAATGCATCTATAGGAGCAGTTTCCTTATAAATTTTAAAAATAATGCCTCTGATGCGCATTTTGAGGTAGGTATCTTAAATGTGCACTTAAGCATAGAGGCAGCAAAGCAAAATATACTGCATATCATCAGCTGTCAATGCAGCTGGGGCCCTAGCTGTATTAAGCAGCACCACTGCAATAGCGTCCTTCGTTGGTAAGATGCGTTTAATCATTCTATATGCACTGTTCCAGCGCGTAGATACTTCTTGCACTAGGCTATAGGGGCTCTCAATTCCCTGCGCTGACCTAAATTTAGCATGGGCAGTTGTGCTGGTTTTGAAGAAACCTACGATCCGTTTACATTTACCTGTTATGCCTTTTATACAATCGAGAGATAAAGTATCTTGTGCTATTAAATTCAAACAATGTGCAAAGCAAGGTAAGTTTCTCTTCTGAAGAATTTCGCATGCTTTCAACATATTTGCAGCGTTGTCTGTTACTATTGTTGAAACTTTCTCAAACACATCCCATTCATCTAATGGTCTGATTATGCATACTTCGCATAACTCCGCACAACTTCGCATAAACTTAAAACTGTAATTTCGTATGTACTTTGTACCTAATTTGTATGTATTCCATTACCCAGAAATTAGCAGAACTCTTAAAAACTGAGCGATCTGATGAGTTTAGATTTTGCTTCACATTTTCTTAAGTTACATTTTTATTGCACTGGTACAAATGGTTGTGCGAAGTTATGCGAAGAATTCATAATCAGACCCTAATACAGCGCGCAATGACCCTGCAATATTATCTGCGGGGTGATTTTCATCTGATTGCAGTTTTGTAGTGGACAATACTGCAGACTGTAGTTTTAATTCGCTTGTTATCAAGTGACGAGTCACTGCAAGATAATGCCTATTACCTCGCGAAGACCAGCCATCCGTGGTGATTGCGCAGCACGCGATATTGGCTACAAGTACCTTTAACTTTTTTTGTAAGCTTGAAAACATATTTTTCATGTGAACTTCTTGTAAAGAACGTCTACATGGCAATTTGTACCGAGGGTCCAAAGCTGCAATAAGTTCGCGGAAACCTTTGTCTTCTACTACGCGAAAAGATTGCACGTCAACGGCCATCATGCGCGCCAACGCAGCATCAATTTGCGCCTTTTTCACTGAATAATACCCGTACGAATCAGATTCTGCTGGTTTAAAGAACCTATGAATATTAGATTTAGAATTTGACGTTTCCAGCTGAGTCGGGTGAAACCTTTTCATATGGTCAAACAGGTTTGATGTATTTCCACTTGTTTTATAAATTTTGCCACACGAGCAACATTTCGCGCTGGAATTTGCTTTGCATTTTTTGAAGCAGTTCCATATTACCGAACCTTGTTTACGCGGCTTTATTGCCACATTGTTTTCTTCATCTGGAGAGTCGGAGATATTTATGCTTGCAACCGCATTATCGTTCGCATCTGTATTACAATGCAATATTCAATTGTCAATTCATATTTTAGAAAAAACACGCAGTTACTTACTCATGCATGTTTTATGCACCTATGTTTTTATATACATTTCATTACCTTTTTCACACTGCAAGTATTTCTCCGTTTTTCCCAATCGCCATCACCAATGTATTTAAATTTCCCTAAAAATGTGATTCCCTGTAATGTATGAATATTTTAGAATTTTACCTCTACTTACAATTGAGTTTAGCCTCAAGCCATGAAGTNATGTTATTTTAAAAAAATCTTCTATATAACAAATGTGACAAATTAAATTTTCTATACATATACTTGCATTAAACCATTTTTTACGAAAAATGCAAAATAAGCTTGCAAATCGCAAAANTCATAATCAGACCCTAATACAGCGCGCAATGACCCTGCAATATTATCTGCGGGGTGATTTTCATCTGATTGCAGTTTTGTAGTGGACAATACTGCAGACTGTAGTTTTAATTCGCTTGTTATCAAGTGACGAGTCACTGCAAGATAATGCCTATTACCTCGCGAAGACCAGCCATCCGTGGTGATTGCGCAGCACGCGATATTGGCTACAAGTACCTTTAACTTTTTTTGTAAGCTTGAAAACATATTTTTCATGTGAACTTCTTGTAAAGAACGTCTACATGGCAATTTGTACCGAGGGTCCAAAGCTGCAATAAGTTCGCGGAAACCTTTGTCTTCTACTACGCGAAAAGATTGCACGTCAACGGCCATCATGCGCGCCAACGCAGCATCAATTTGCGCCTTTTTCACTGAATAATACCCGTACGAATCAGATTCTGCTGGTTTAAAGAACCTATGAATATTAGATTTAGAATTTGACGTTTCCAGCTGAGTCGGGTGAAACCTTTTCATATGGTCAAACAGGTTTGATGTATTTCCACTTGTTTTATAAATTTTGCCACACGAGCAACATTTCGCGCTGGAATTTGCTTTGCATTTTTTGAAGCAGTTCCATATTACCGAACCTTGTTTACGCGGCTTTATTGCCACATTGTTTTCTTCATCTGGAGAGTCGGAGATATTTATGCTTGCAACCGCATTATCGTTCGCATCTGTATTACAATGCAATATTCAATTGTCAATTCATATTTTAGAAAAAACACGCAGTTACTTACTCATGCATGTTTTATGCACCTATGTTTTTATATACATTTCATTACCTTTTTCACACTGCAAGTATTTCTCCGTTTTTCCCAATCGCCATCACCAATGTATTTAAATTTCCCTAAAAATGTGATTCCCTGTAATGTATGAATATTTTAGAATTTTACCTCTACTTACAATTGAGTTTAGCCTCAAGCCATGAAGTTTTGAAGAGATGTGAGGAAATATTGGGAAGTTTCTCTAAAAACCGACATCGATGGTTTTCAAAAACTATCGATAGTGGTGCGAGTTTTCAACTATCGATACAATAGATATTACTATCGATAGTATCCCAGCTCTAACATACACCTCTGTTACTGCGCCTACATCGCTGTCATCTGTTGCTCTTCAATCTACACCTGCTACACTACTAAAATTTGATAAATGTGGTAGGAAAATTTAAAAAAAATTTTAACAGCGATTTTTTGATGAAGTTTACTTCTATTTGACACGTAGATTATGGATCCACAGTCTCGCCCCTAAATTTCATTTGGCAACATTCCGCCATATTGGATTTTTTTTTTTTTTTTGAGGTTTTTTGCGATTTGCAAGCTTATTTTGCATTTTTCATAAAAAATGGTTAAACACAAATATGTAGAGAATGCAATTTCCCACATTTGTTATACAGAAGGTTTTTTAAAAACCGCATTTTTTATTGTAAAAAATTAGCAAAAAACTGCGAAAAAATTTTACTTTGTCACGGTTTTCGCCATTTTTTGGCGATTTCTGTTGAAAATACATAGCATATTGAAAATCCAAAGTTGTAGAGAATTTTATTCTTCCCAAAATTTTTTTTGTACGACGCTTACATCACGGCCGGGAACGCGATAAACGTAGCGATGTACGGGATGCGCCGTAAAACTATTTCCACACCACCGCTAAGCTAGAGTTTTTCGGCGCGATTTTTAACGTGGTTTCCCCAGTAGGCCTAATCCACGGGCAACGTGTTTTTTAATTAAAGCAGATGAAGGTGTGGAAATAAGTTTTACGGCGCATCCCGTACATCGCTATGTTTATCGCGTGCCCGGCCGTGATTTAAGCGTCGTACAAAAAATGTAGGTATAAAAGTTGTGAAGAATAAAATTCTCTACAACTTTGGAATTTCAATATGCTATCTATTTTAAACCGAAATTGCCAAAAAATGGCGAAAACCGTGACAATGTAAAATTTTTTCGCAGTTTTTGCTAATTTTTTACAATAAAAAAATGTTATTTTAAAAAAATCTTCTATATAACAAATGTGACAAATTAAATTTTCTATACATATACTTGCATTAAACCATTTTTTACGAAAAATGCAAAATAAGCTTGCAAATCGCAAAAAAACCCCAAAAACATAAAATCCAAGATGGCGGAATGTTGCCAAACGAAATTTAGGGGCGAGACTGTAGATCCATGATCTACGTGTAAAATAGAAGTAACTGCATCAAAAAATCGCTGTTACAAATTTTTTTTAAGAAAAAGTCTTATTTACTGGGCTATTCGTTTAGCTTTGAATATTGCTGTCAACAGAAATCAAAAGAACTTTTTTCATTATTTCTGTTGGTTGGAAAAGTACTTTACCATTTTTTTTTTTTTTTTTAAGTTCTTGGACGTCATTTTACACGAATGGTTTGGTTTTCTTGAGAACTGTAGACTAGCTTTACAAAATAAAAGGCGAATAAAAAACTTCAAAAACTTAAAATACGGTTTCAATGCATNTTTTTTTTTTTTGAGGTTTTTTGCGATTTGCAAGCTTATTTTGCATTTTTCATAAAAAATGGTNCGCTTTTAATCTGTTTCTTAGAGCAGACAAATTTTAAATCAGAGAAAATTTGCTCACAAAAGTAACTTGAAGGAAAAAACGATAAAAGCTGGAAAGAAATTTCTTTGAGTTAAGGGTAAAGTGAGTTATCTAAATTTCTCCAGAACCCAATAATGTCGGCTCCATTAAAAAATTCCATTTCACTTTGCAGAAGTATTAATTCTACTTGAATTTTAAACTCATATTTGGATACATCACAACTGAAAGGATTTTCAAAGAGAACTATGAAATGGTGAATATTTTTGAAGTCCTTAAATCTGTCATCAAATTGAAGAAAAGAGT